AGCCCCTCGTTGAGTGACAGGAACTCTCATTTGTTGCTGGTGAGAACGCAAAATGGTACAGCCACTTTGGAAGACACTTGACAGTTACAAAACTAAACACACTCTTACCATATGATCTAGTTGGTATTTATGCAAATGAATTGAAACCTTATGCCCACACAAAAACCTGCACATGATGTTTACAGTAGCCTTATTCATAATTGCCAAACCTTGGAAGCAACGAAGATATCCTTCAGTAGGTGAATGAGTCAATGAACTTGGTACATCCAGATAACAGAGTATTATTCAGCACTAAAAAGAAGCGAGTCATGAAGACATGAAGGAACTTAAATACATATTACTAAATGTAAGAAGCCAATCTGAAAAGGCTAAACATTGTACGGTTCCAACTATATGACATTCTACATTCTGGAAAATGCAAGACTATGGGAACAGTAAAAGGATCAGTGGTGCCAGGGGTTGGGAGGGAAGGAAGGACGAACAGGTGGAGCACAGAGGATTTTGCAGGCAGTGAAACTATTCCGTATGATATTATAACAGTGGATACGTGCCGTTACACATTTGTTACAACGCAGAATGTACACCAAGAGTGAACCCTGAAGTAAACTATGGATTCTGGGTGATAATGATGTGCCACTGTAGACTTATGTACCACTTTGGCAGGAATGTGGGTAACTGGGGAGGCCATGTGTGTGTGCAGCCAGGGGTACATGGTAACTCTGGACTTTCTGCTCAATTTTGCTATGAATCTAAAGCTGCTCTAAAAAAAATTTTTTTTAAACAATGACTTCACATGACATTTTTAAATAAAATAAAATAACAGAAGTTTTAATTTTTTCACAAAAAAGAAAATTGCCCAAAACTTAATGACATGTCTTCAGTTTAAAAGGGCCCAGTGTGCATCTGGCATCGTAGATGAAAACAAAACAACCCTGAGGTGCATCACTGTAAGAGTTGGAGCATGGGAGCCCAGAAAATTTCCAGAGAGACAGTTAGAAAAGATCCGGATTCAAATGCTTTTGGACTTCTGAGCGGCAATATTGGGAGACAGGATGCAAAAGCAAAGGCATTAAAAATTCTGAAAGAAAATTATTTCCTGCCTGAAATTCTGTGTTTGTTAGGATGTGTTTCCCCAAGAAAAAGGAAGACCTGGGATCAGGAGGGTCGCACAGGGGAGAGGGGAAAGGAAGTCCCAGGGCAGGGGCAACAGGAGACCTCAGGACTACAGCCTTCACAGGCTGTCAGAGGGCGCTGTCCACGGCAGCCAGAGAAGGTCAGCAGCAGGCTCCAGGGCACACTTCCCCGGGAAGGTGAGATTCTGAGAATAACTCATTTACCCAAATCTGCTGAGAAGAGATTTATAAAAGTGGCCAGGAATTTAGGGTCAGATCACAGAAAAACAGAAAAAAACGAAGCAAATGGAAAAACCTATTACTGACTCCAGAGGAAAAAAGCTTTGAGGGGAAATAAAAGCAATGGTAGTTAACTGCATGTTCCGGCTTTGAATATATTGGTATTATTATGCAAATGGTGAACAGGGCTTCTGGTTGACCCAAATTCTCATCTACTGTACTAGGAGGATGAGAAAAAGGGAAGGATGCAAATGGAAGAAGGACAGCAAGGAGGAAAGAGACTTAAATATTCATCATAAGTCACAGGAAATGCCTACGCCTGAAAATCAAGAAATTTAGAAAACAGGGAGGAGGTAAATACCAAAAGAAACAGTTAAAATCATGGTTCCTCTGGAGAAGCTAATGGGGTGGAGGTTGGGGGGTGGGCTGCTTGTCAACAACTGAAGGCTCTGAGATTTTATCTAACTTGCATGGTAACAAATTAACAAGTTCAAGGATGCTGGCAGAAGACACAACACCTGGAGAACAGAGACAGAAGTTATTATGTACAACGACAGTGTATTATTGTTTTATTTTGTCCTCTGAACCCCAATTCTCACAGCGTGGTACCAAGGAAGCCAGCCAGCACCTAGGAAGCCAGCCAGCACCTGGGCACCCAGTGGGTTGCACTGCAGGAAAAGAAGCCTGAGCTTAGGGAAAACGAAGTTTTAACAATGGACAGTAAGTCGGCCTGCCTTTTGTTGGTGAAGATGCTGCTGCTGTGTCCAAGGCTGTTTGTTATACAAACATCCTTAAAAAGATACTGAGGAACGAAAAGGGGCACTTAGTGCCTCGCTCACAAGTCATACAGAAATGCAACAGACCCACAGGGAACTCATACTCAAAACTGCCGTTTTTTTACAATCAACCACCCTGAATGATTTTTTTTTTAATTGCACACACGTATAACATTCATAAAAATAAAAACCTACCAAGTTAGATATTTTAAATTATTGAAACAACTCGCCACTGACTGAGGATCTTTTCTTTCCAAAGGAGAAACAACGTGGGCGAAAATTGGGAAAGGATGTTTTGCGGAACTTTGCGCAGAGCGGGCTCTTCCCGAGGCAGGGCGGTCTCAACCACCGCGATCAGACGCGGGCGGAGAGCAAGGCCCTGAGGCCGCCGCGCCTGGTCCCGGCCGCGCCTCCCGGGCAGGTTCCCCCGTGGCCACGAGCGCGCATCCTGCACCTGCGAGGCCGGGATCGGGCGCCCACGCCTCGGGCTGTAGGACAGTTGCAAGCCATCCATGTGTGTCAAGGGCGTGGAGCAGCCCGTTCATAGTTTGTGTTGCTCACAAGTTATCTAGGGTGTGAATGGAGCCCCCTTGAAAGTCAAAGAAATACCAACAGAGACGGAGTACGTAGCCAGTGGGGGCTCGTCTCGGGGCTGAAGGCCAGGACCCCGGTCGGATGGCGCGGCCACGATGCCTTTGGTGGTAGGTCGGGAGAAAATGTGGGCCGCATCCTCAGCGCCAGCAGATCCCCCGCCAGGTGCACGGGGCTGGCCGCGCGCCCCCCTCGCCGGAGCGCGCCGGCGCTTGGGGCGCTGCAGTCCCGCCTGGCGCTGGGTCCCATCAGTCCCACCTTGGCCGCTCCCTCGGCCGGCCTGGGACCCGACCGCACCAGCGGCGGGGCGGGCGCTTCGCAGCTCCGTGGAGTGGGCTCTGCGCTCTCACCCCTCCCTAGGGCAACGCCACCGCCCAAGGCCGCGGAGGAGGGCCGAGCGGGGCAGATCGCGTTTATCAGCCCCATTTCCCATTACATAAGGCCGGGCCCCTATCTCCGCGGGGCATCGCCGAGACCGCGCGGCCAGCGTGCCTTCTCCTACGCGCGGGGGCGCGCCTGCCCACCGCTCCCCGCATCGGTTTGGCTGGTCCTGGGGGGTGAGGGGCCTTGACTCATCTTGGCGCAGAGCTTTGGGACTTCTGCATCCCACGGCGGTTCCCCGCTCCTTCCCTCAACACAGAGACCCCATTCTACAGATGAGGAAACTGGAGCCCACGGCAGTGTCATACAGCCAACTGACAGCACTCCAGGCACTGGGCGGCCGGCGAGGGGCAAGGGCTGGCTTCTGGGTGTAGGGCCTACAAGCGGGCTGGGAAGCTTGGGATTTGGCCAACAGAGAGGGTGGGAGGAAGAGTGGGCAAGGCAGAGGAGCTTCGGGCCAGGAGCGGCAGAAGCACTTGGGAGAGCCTTGGGAGGAGGTTGAGCCTCACTGGGAGGACAAAGCGAGCCTGAGAGGGCAGAGAAGGGGCCTGGAGGGGGAGGCACTGGTTTAGGGGAGGAAGTGGATGAGGGAGACAGCTTGACATCAGTACTCAACAGGCAAATGATGCAGTCTCTGTTGCAGGGGTTTCTGCAGGACTTCTAGAGAGAGGAGGGAGAAGCAGGAAAATGGCTATATGCAGTATCCCTGCAGAGGTGGGCTGTTCAGGGGGACCCTGGAGTGGGGGCAGGCTGCCCTCCACAGCCTTCAGTCTGCACAAACCTGGGTCCCCTGGGGAGAAAGGCTTTGTCCCACAGATACTGGTGAGCAGAGTGGTTGCCCCAGGTCTCAGTGGCACCGGGAACAGGTACACTTTCCGACCTGGGCTAAGGCTAGGTCGTGCCTCCTGCTAGCCTGGCGGCTAAGGGTTTCCCATCAGGATGGGCCCACACTGAAGGCCTGAGTTGGGCACTCTGTGTTTAGGCTGCCCATGCGCAAAATTATCATCAAAGCAACTTTAAAAAAAGAAAAGGTCCCAGGGGCACCTGGGTGGCTCAGTCTGTTAAGTGTCTGTCCTGGGCTCAGGTCATGATCCCAGGGTCCTGGGATCGAGCCCCACATCGGGCTCCCTGCTCAGTGGAGAGCCTGCTTCTCCCTCTGCCCTGGCTCATGTGTGCTCTCTCTCTTTGAAATAAACAAAATCTTTAAAAAAAAAAAAAGAGGTCCCAGAAGGATCCCTGAATCTGACTGGATCTTTCGGTGGAGACCTGGGAATCTGAACTTTTTATAATCCTTCCCACAGTGGAGCCAACAGGGACTCGGGGCGGAAGAAAAAGAATGAACTTCACTCTTTTCTTTTTATCCTGTTTGAGTTTTGTATCCGAATCAAGCATTAGCGACCAGTTCATTGAAAAAACAAAACCCCCAAACTCACACATCTGGTGGACTGTAGTCATAGCCCTGTCGGCCGAGCGCTTCTGGTGGCCCACAAGCGTTTCTGGTGACCCACAAGCGTCTGAGGACAGGAGCTGGGCAGACACTCAGGGTGGTTACCGGGCAAAACTGCTGCAGTTCCAGCCTGCAAGGCCCACCCCAGGCTGCCCTCAGGGCCCTCTCACCTACCCCTGAAGGGAGCACATCCACATCTTGGGAAGGGCTCCAGACCCCTCTCAATGGTAAGTCCACGAGAAATCAAACTCTTTCCTTTATGCGACGCTGGATTTTCCACAAAGTAAAATCAAGATGAGTAAAGATGTGGTTTCTAGATAGTACTCGGCAAAGCGGAGACCTGGGTCGGAGGCGTCATCACTTTGGCCTATAAAAGCTGCTGCAAGAGGCCAAGGCCACAAGCCACTCAGCTTAGGCCAGCCTACGGGTCTGTTCCTCGCTCCTCCTGTGTTGGCTCTAGGCTCCATGGCACTCTGGTTGACTATGGTCATTGCTCTCACCTGCCTTGGCGGCCTTGCCTCCCCGGTCCCTGGGCCTAACTCCACAGCCCTCAAGGAGCTCATTGAGGAACTGGCCAACATCACCCAGAATCAGGTGAGTACCCTCTGGCCAGGGTTCTAGGTCTGAGGGTGCTGGAGTGGGGGACTCTCACACAGGGTACATGGCTCAGGCTATGAAGGCTGGGCCCCATCCTAGGAAGCCCCAGGGACCAGGAGGGAGAAGAGCCAGGTTGAGGGGCAGCAGTATGGATGGACCCATAAAGGGGTTTGGTGGAGCCCCCAGGGACCACCTGTTCCCCTGGCCTGGCCCTGCCTGCCACGGAAGCAGAGGAGGGGCCAACTCCTACTCAGCCATTCAAGAAGAGAAAAGCAGAGAGGGCCAGCACTCTCCTAGGACTCCTTAGCTTTTGCCATCTGGTTTGAGTGGAATCATGGGGACATTACTCACAGCATTTTGGTTAAGCCCATTCTTATAGAAGGATTCATTGGTAGTCAGCTCCTGTCCCCAGTGGTGATGGCTCACACTTTCTGGGCAATGTGTGCCAAGCCTAGTGCTGAGTGCTTTTCATCTCATTCCATCACTGCCAGCCACCTCGAAAGGCAGGTATGATGACCCTATTTGACTGACTAAGCCTCATTAAGGTTGACAAAAGCCAGATTCAAACCAGGCCTGGCTGACACCCAGCATCCATGCTCCAAACTGCAGTGTCCCCTAGTTCAGAAGACAGGGTTTTATATACTAGCCCCCACGGCCACCCATCTGACTGACCTGACCACCCCCTCCTCCCTCGCCCAATGCTGACCTGACTCCTCCCTGGAGATGTCCTACTGACTGATCAGGAGTTTAGGCTTCACACAAGGCTTGTCCCTTACTGGTTGTGTCACTCAGATTTTTCTCTCTTAGCCCCAAGACCCTGGACAATGGGTCTCCCCCACTATGCACAGCAGGAAGTGAAGCTCAGGAACACTGGGGGTCCCTAGTCTAGCTCTGTGCTGCAGCGGGGAAGCCCGTGGGGCTGGGTCCCTGTGGAGACACGGCCTGGGCTTACTGTCTTTCTGATCCCTCAGGCATCCCTCTGCAATGGCAGCATGGTGTGGAGCATCAAGTGGACCGGCAGCATGGTAAGGACCCCCTGGACGCTGGGAGGGATGTTGCTGAGGCTGTAGGTCTTGTGCTCGTCTCCTCTGAGCCTCCCTCACACGGCTCGGGGGTTCCAAGCAAGCTTCACAATTTGGAGTCCTCCCACCACCCGAAGCCACCTCTCTCAGGGCTCTCCGCCCCCTCTTCCTGGAGAGTCAGTGAAGGTGCCAGTGGGGGGCTAGGGGTACCCAGCAGGGCCTGACACCCCTGTGTTCTTCTCCCTGCAGTACTGTGCAGCTCTAGAATCTTTGGTCAATGTCTCCGACTGCAGCGCCATCCAAAGGACACAGAGGATGCTGAAAGCGCTGTGCCTTCACAACACCTTGGCCGGGGTAAGGCCCTCTGTCCTGTACCCCCCAACCCTGCATCCACTCCTGCCAGCCCTGGGAGCTCCAGGGGAACCCGGCTGAGCGTCTGGAAAGCAAGTGTCCACTCTGGGGGTCGGTCCCCAGTGGCAGCAGGAACACGGCCTTTGGCATTTCCAGGATCTGGGCTTGTGGGCTCCTGAATCCTACCTGAGCTTCGGTTTCCACATCAGTGAAATGTGGGTAATAACAGTACCCCCCCCCCACTTGGTGGGGATTAAATAAGCTGGTTCCTGGAAAGCCCCTGGCGGATGCTGGTCACCTTTGCTCTGGCGTCCCACTGACACACCGGTCTCTCTGTCCTGCAGCAGATCTCCAGTGAGCGCAGCCAAGACACAAAAATTGAAGTGATCCAGTTGATGAAAAACCTGCTCACCCACGTCCGGGGAGTTTATCGCCACGGGAAGTTAACATGAAGCATGAAAACCTAGCATCCTTATTCGCAGAGGCAGACCTGACCATTTAAGTTACAGATTCATTTTTCTTTCAGATGTCACAAATTTCTTGGGGGGGGGGGCGGGGAGGGAGGGAGACACTATTTCCTTAGCTTGGACCTCAGCCTGTGCCGCCTGCCTCCGCCCAGCCGAACCCAGCCTGCCCTCCTCTCCTGGGCTCTGAGCTCTGAGAACACAAGGGCAAACGCTGCCCTGCACGACTGCATGCCCCCTGAGAGCGAACCGCAGCATTACAGTGGGGGCCGCCGTGGCAGACATGCCGGGGAGGGGGCCTTGCTGTTCACAGGCACGGCTAAGGCAGACAGCAGCAGCTCGGGCACATTTCTTCTTAGCCTTATTTATTATTGTGTGTTATTTAAACAAGTGTGTTCGTCTGTGCTGGGGACAGGGAGGGACTGTTGCCTCCAGAACCTAGAGCCAGGGGCCCAACGACTTGGGCGTTAGGAGTCCCTGGGAATCAGCACTGTGTGTAAAATTCTGCTACCTCACTGGGGTCCTGGGGCCGACACGGGACAGGGGAGAGGGCCAGAGAAGCTGCTCTTGTCTGCCGGGCAGCAGCTGGTCCTCAGCCAAAGAGTAATTTATTGTTTTTCCTTGTATTTAAAATTAAGAAATAAAATATGTTATCAAAGAGTTGCTAATATATAGAAGCGCAGCCTACAAGGCTGCATTTGGTGTGTGTGGCCTGGGGGGGGGGTCACTGAGTATGTTCTTTCACTGACTTTGTCAGACTGGAAGGCAGAAATAAAGGCGGTGACAAGAGACCAGATGATGTCTGTGTTTTACTTTGGCCTGTGTGGACCTTGGTCTAGCTTCCTAAGACTCTGAGGAGCTCTTCGGGAGTCAGGGCAGGTGGAGGAGGGGGCCTGAGAAGGAGTGCAGGGGGAGTGAGGGAGAGGACCCGGGCTGAAAGGAAGCAAGCCCCCAGGGGGGTGGCTGGCCTGAAAGACGTGCCCCCACCTACCACCCACAAGGAGGGAGGAGCAGCTCGGGCCAGGACGTCTGGGTTCAAGGAGGACATGTGGAACAGGCAGAGACTTCAGAAGTCATCTTATGATCAGAGGAGTGGCCTGCCTGTGTCTGATACCACCCACACACCCTCTGGCATCTCTCTCACGGCCTCTCTGAAGCTCGGGGGAGAGGAGGCAACGTGCCCAAGGTCATACTCCTGGTAAGGAGCAAAGCCAGGATTAGAACCCAGAACTCACTCCAACTCCAAAGCCCATATACTTAACCACCCTGCCTTCCTCTGTCCAAATGTCATCTGGCCTAAATGCATGACTTTTTTTTAAAGAAGGCTCCATGCCCAGCATGGAGCCAGATGGCAGGGCTTGAACTCATGACCCTAAGATCAAGATCTGAGCTGAGATCAAGAGTTGGACGTTTAACCGAATGAGGCACTCAGGCCCCACGACTTTTATAACATTGGCACCAACCTGTTTGGGCACCTCCCCCGACAGGAAGCTCACAAATTCCTTTCTACGGACAGCCAGTCAGTCCCTGGACATATCTCATCATTAGTGCACACTTACCACCTCTGTGAACAAAGATGCACCAACTGACTTACGGCCCCTGCACTACGGAGTGACAAGTGGAGACCCAAGGTCACAGGGCCCTGGTCAGACCACCCCCCCAACCAGGTCTTTTTGCTTCTCCCCGGGCCCAGGCCAGCACCATGAATGCCAGAAGCAGCAGGCTTCAGCAAGCCACAGCTAATGCTCACGCCCGTCAGGAGCAGTTTACACGGAATCTCTAAGAGGCGCCCAGAAGGATGCAACGCCTCTGCATCGGGTGGTGGGTCATCAGAGACCAGTCTCAAACACTGAGTGGCAGGCAGGTACCTTGCCTGGGAAGCCACAAGCCCTGTGGGAACATCCACAGCGATGCTCAGAAGCCAGTGGAGGCAGCCACCCCAGGAGCCACGAGAGGTGATGCTGTGTGTGATGCACACAACAGACGCCATGGCAGGACCTATCTGGGGGCAGAGGTCCATGGCGGGCAGCTCCAGGAGCCACTCAGAGACAGTGGACCCCTTGCACCCAGGCAGAAGCGAGGGAAGACTTAGGGAGGGGGCATGGGACCTGAGCATCCCACGGGCTGTCAGGGGCAGGCGCTTGGACCGTCTCTGTGGTCCCGGGAGGTCTCAGAACCTGTTCGGTCCCACTACATTTGTGGCGGCCTGCACTCGTCCAGCCCTGGGGCTAACCGTGACCAAGACACCACACGCACTCACGGGTTAGCACCAGAAAGAAGTCTGAGCAATGGAGTCTCCTCGGCAGCCACTCCTCCATTCAGAGTTCCAAGGGTTTTAGGGCCAGAGGATATTTAGGGAAGACTAATTCCATTTTTATACAAAACTTAGCCATCCATTCTCTGGCCACATCACCTTTCACCACATCCTCTGCCCAACCAGAGTACTGGCCTGTCTGTCCGAAGGAGGATGCAAAGTCTTTGGATGAAATTCCATGTTAATCTCCCAAGAACAAAGACCGGAGCTGAGGCTGGTGCGGGCAGGGTCGATGAGGGTTTCCTAAGGATGTATTCCAGTGGTAGTCTGGAGGGTGTACGGCCCTAACAGGGCTGCAGAGGCCCCACCACTAGGGGTCCACAGCGCGCCACGTCCTCAGCTCCCCACAGCTCCCTGCCTGCCGCTCTGAGACTATTCCCAAGACAAGGCACCTGCGTTCACAGGGTGTGCAGTCGGCCAGTGGGGGCTCGGGCCATTCCAGGAATGGTGGACCTCATGGAGCCACAGAACCAAGCCAGTATGGGTGGCCAAAGGGAGGCGGGCCTGGCCAGGAATGAGAGAGAAAGAGGCAGATGAAAACAGGAAAAAAGGGTATGTGTCAGCTATTGTGGCTGGGAGCACCACTACCTGGGGACTGAAGCCCAGCGGGTATTTGCTGGGAGTTTCTCTAACCATGTGGTCTCACTTCTTCCATGAGGAGAGGCAAACCCTGGGCAGGGCCCAGACAGAAGGGCGGTTGGGAAGAGACAGGGTGCTTGCTGAGTGGGAGGGAGATGCTGGTCATGGGGCCCAGGGCGGGGAGCCCCTCTGCACCCCAGGAACTCCAGGCCCCAGAGGTTTCACTGGAAGAGGGGCCAGGGCTCAAGTGAGAAGTGAGACACCCTTGAGTTTCCGGTGAACTCGGCACCAAACACCTCTGTTTGCTGCTCAGATGAGGTGTCAGAAAACACTGCGAGTCACTGCTGGGGATTCTCCGAGGCTTGGCCCTCTGAAGTGCTCAGGACTCAGGAGGACAAGGGCTTGCATCTTGCTTCCTTGTGACCCAGTAGCTTGAAGGCTGGGGTTTATCGAATCCATCGGCTCATGGCTTTTTCATTACTATCAACAGGAAAGCGCCTTCTGTTTAGTATCTTAATTTAGCTGGTCAGTTTGAGCAAAACCAAAAACCGTTCCTCCCTTTAGCTGACTCCCTTCCGAGCAGGCCCGGCTGAGCCCAAGCTGACTGTGCTCCAGGCTGACCGCCCAGGCTTGAACCCATGGGCCAGTCATCTGGGCCTCCCCAGAGGCCCAAGCTGGGGTCAGAGTTGATGGCTGTAGCCACGGTCACCCCTTCCACGTACGCTGCCCAAGTCCTACACTGAAAAATAAAAGTCATAAAGCCTCATTATCTTCATTCGTTTCTCAGCTCCACCCAACAGCAGCAGAGTAAAGGGTTTGCAACGAACTTTCCCAGATCAACTGATTTCTCGGCAGCAAGGGAGGGCCCCATGACGAAGCCATTTGAAATCCCAGAAGTGATTTTCTACCTACGACCTCACTTTCTGTTGCGCTCTCTCCCTGCCCCTGCACAGTGCCTTCTCTTGTGGAAAGTGATTCTCTCAGGGCGGCCTTCAGAACCGCCCCCAGCCAGGGCAGCTCCTGGGCCGATGTTGCTGTGCGGTCACCGGTGATGCAAGGCCGGCATTAAATATAGCAACTCATGTCAGTTCCGCCTGCTGCATCACTCCGACAAGCCAGCAAGCCCATGGCGGGGGCAATTCCTGAAAGCCAGCCTGCCCTGGAGGCCCCTGCAGGCCAGAGGGTCCATGCGCCCGGCTGAGCCCAGGGCCCCGGGCCAGAAGGAGTCCCAGGGACACCGCATTAGAAAGGCAATTTCTCATTTAGTGTCTCCTCTTTCTGCTCATCTCTGTTTTCCCACATGTTCTGTAATGAGCATGTATTCATCTCCCACTGGGGGACAAAGACAAATTTAAGCAAAAAAAGGAAAGAAGAAAGAAAGAAAGAAAGAAAGAAAGAAAGAAAGAAAGAAAGAAAGAAAGAAAGAAAGAAAGAAAGAAAGAAAGAAAGAAAACGAAACAACATGACACTGGGGGCTGGTCCGTGAACGTCCGGAAGGGGCCAGCCCTCGCAGGACGGGCTAGCCGGGAGCCCAAGCTCGGTTCTAAGCGCCCTCTGGCTGCTGGCTGTCTCGGGGGCAGAGCTGGGTACCGGCAGGGGTCCGTGCCGCGGGAGGGCCAGCACCACTCCTCCCAAGGGCCAAGCAGGTCCTGTGTTGCCAAAGATAGAGGAAGACACACCGCTCTTGCAGAGTCCTCCCCCAGCCCCGGTCTGCCAGCCTGCAGGGAGGGGTAAGATGGGAAAGGGTGGGCCGCCAGTCGAGCCCTGAGGCTGCAGTGGCATCGATGCCCCAGGGACGGATGGCGAGGTCCTACACACTCCTCAGACAGCTTCCCTCTCTCAGGAGAAGGACCTTCCACCTGCTTCTCAAAGAAAAGGGAAGCCAGCAGCCTAAGGAGCTACTTCGGCTCCATTCAGAGAAGCCAGAGTCTACAGCTGTACCTGCCTTGGCCCCCTTCTCCCTGCCTTGTTCGCTCCCTCTGAGGGGTCCTCTTTGCATCTGTACTCAGGATCCCATTCCCCCTGCCCTTGCCGGGGGATCCAAACAAGTCCCAGCTGTGCCCCTAACTTCCCTCATGGTCACTCAGGCCAAGTC